TTGATGGCTGAATATTGACCTTAGGCTGGATGACTTTGTTTGTTGTTTAGAGCCTCAAATGTTCTAAGTGTTGTAAGCCAGAAATGCTTGATTCCCTATATGCATCCCACAATTGCTGTAGGAGTTTTAAAAAATGCACACCCCTAGTACCATGAAAAAGCACCAAGCCTGTCCTCTGCCTGTAATCCCAGTGCTCGGGAGGCAGACAGGAGGATCCCTGGTTCTCTCTGGTCAGTTGGTCTAGCCAAATTGGTAAGCGCCAGGTTCAGTGAGACACTGACTATAAAAGTAAGGTGAAGAGAGGAAGATGCTTAACATCAACCTCTGGCCTCAGTGCACAGGCTCTTGTGTGCCTGTATAGTCATGTATGTGCACAGACAAGCACATGCATACACACAGAAGCACTCTCTTGAGCCTCTTTTAAAAATTATTCTGTATATGTATGCACATGTGCTCATGCGTATGGGTGTGGCCATTACTATTCCATGGCATGTGTGGGAGTCAGAGGACAGTTTTGGGGATTAAATTCTTGCCTTCCATCATGGGGCTTCCAGGAATTGAACTCAAACGTCAAGTCTTGACTACAAGACTTTATCCACTGAGCCATCTTGCTGTCTCAAACTGCATAGTTTGTAAAGTTGGTGTCCTTGTGTGGTTATTTTGCACCCGGTCCCTTGAATTTGCACAGTGATGGATTATTAAGATAAATCTAAGTGCCAGAAACTAGTATTGTGCGAGTCATTTGAGGTAAATGTATCTCTTGAGGATAAGCACATCCATTGAGAGAAAATTAGGATAAAGTAATTGCATGCACAGTACATACAGAAGAGGAATGTTTGTTGTGGGCAAAGGAGACGGGGAAAAGGGATATTTAATAATGGGTCCAAATATTACAGAAGTTTTTGTTATAGCTGCCAGGCGATGCTTACTAGCTAGGCTTGCTCATGTTCTATAAGCAGTGGTCACAGACTCCATACCTATACGGCCCCCACAGTTAATGCAAATGTGAGTTGTCCAGGAATGCCAGAGGACAACTTGTCTCTCTAGTGGGCAGCTGTGAGTAATTAGTTGTACTTGCTACTAAACCAGGGTCAGTCGACCATTTCTCCATCTTTCAGGGTTTGAGAGAAGCTAGAAGAATGGATTTTATATGTGGACTCCACACTAAATCTACTAAAGGCCCCTAAAAACTGACAGCACACAGGTACAGTTAGACTTGAACTACCTGCCACCAATCAGGAATCTCTGTTGAGAGCAATCTTCTCCAAATGTGGGCACCAGGTTCTTCACTGTTGGAGGCCTTATACTGATGCAAATTCTCTGGCTCCACTTCAGGCGTACTGGATCAGAAGCTCGGGGGATGAGGCTGTCATTCTCTTCTAACAGCTTGGGCGATTCTGATGTGTACTCAGATTTGAGACCCACCTTTTGGTAGTATGGAACTTGACATTACAGTTCTGTATGGAGATAGTGGTAAAGACAAAAGACCTCTAATAGAAATGTTAGGCGTGGAGTGTTCTCAGCGTATGGCTTCTTACATCTTTTGTCGGAATCAAAGTAACAATAATTTTTGTCCTGTTCTTTTCGTTATCATTCCATTGGGTATTGCAAATGAAGTTAACAACAGTTCTGCTTTACAGTTTGACCTCACTAAAACACGTCTGACATTTTATTTACTGGATGATTCAAATTTGAATAACATGTCACATGGCTTTTCAAAGCTTTGCTTTTAAATCTTCCCCAAAGCATGAAGTGTGACACATAACAAATAAGGAATGCCTATCAGACTGAATGCATGCTTATCACAGGCAGTCTGAGCTGCAGAATCAGTTTCTAGTCAAGCCTGGGATACTTGACTAGAATAGTCAGCAAATAGAACAGGAATACAGGATGATTATCCCTTATACAAAATACTTGCCATCAGAAGGGTTATTTTCAGATTTTGAGATATTTCCCCATATGGGAAAGTAGGTAGGCCTCACTTGATGGTCAGACGCAAGTTGGTACATGCAGTTTATTGGTTTTCTTTTTTTTTTTTGGTTTTTTGAGACAGGGTTTCTCTGTGTAGCTTTGCGCCTTTCCTGAAACTCACTTGGTAGTCCAGGCTGGCCTCAAACTCACAGAGATCCACCTGCCTCTGCCTCCCAAGTACTGGGATTAAAGGTGTGCACCACCACCACTGCCCGGCCAGTTTATTGGTTTTCATATACATACATCTTATATGTGTACAGAAAGTTAAGTTTACCCACTACTTTTTCGGGAACCTTTGTTTGCACTCTGTTATATGAGATCATGTGTGAAATTTTCCATTTTTATCAGCGGTGCTTAAATTTTGATGTTTTAATTTAGGCATATCTCCTTATTGACATTTTCAAAAATGAATTCTGTTTACTGGAATCAGTAATTTAATGTGATTTTATGTTAGATCTGGACTCACTGCTAGTCAATCAAACCAAGTTTTAACGCTTATACATTTAATGCTAATATTTGTCCCTAGTCTTAGAATGTAGAAACAACTGTTATTTTGATTGCTATCTTAAAGTTTTTATTCCTTCACAGATATATTTATTTGAACGTCCTTAGTATATCCTTAGTATTCTGTTAATTAGATAATTAATACCATACAAAGAATTAAAAGTATACCTTAATTATGAAAGAAGCCCATAATAAATAACACATAATAAAGTGCTTAAAATGCACTTTTAGAGGGACTGGAGAGATGGATCAGCAGTTCAGAACCCATATTGCTCTTGCAAAGGACCCTAGTTCAATTCTCAGCATCACACAGTGGCTCACAGCTATTTGTAACTCCAATTCCAGGGCATCCCAGTGCTGCTTCTGAGATCTGCATGCTCTTGTGTCCATGTGGTACACATACGTACCCTCAGGCATACAAATAAATATGTTTTTTAAATGTACCTTTAGAATATTTAAAGTGCTGACATGGACCAAGAGTTGGAATAATCTTATTTAAAGTTAAGGGTTTTGAGTTTAAAAAGGTATTGATCCAATTTTGTTTACATATAATATTAATGAAAACACATTTCTATTTACAGGGTAAACCAGACTTAAACACGACATTGCCAATTAGACAAACTGCATCAATTTTCAAGCAACCAGTCACGAAAGTCACAAACCACCCCAACAATAAAGTGAAGTCAGACCCACAACGGATGAACGAACAACCACGTCAGGTAAGGGGCTAATTTGTCCTTCAATCACATTTTCCAGAAAATTCTGGTATTTTTTACCAGGCAGAATTCAAGTAAATTCTGGTTAAATTGGAATGCATTTGAAAAAAGTTTTATGTCCAGAGCTCCTATAGAGAATAACCAAAATAATATAAGACTTAATAAAAATACTTTAGAAGTTAATTAAAGTGAATCTAACTAATATTATTGGCAACACTATTACGCTTTCTGTGTTATAATCTTCCCCCAGTCTTGGTTGTACTAATCTTAGTTTTTTTTTAAAGATTATTTTTCTAGGGATAGTATTTCCTAGAAAGATGAATCATGCAGCTTGTGTTGTGTTTGGTTTGAAAACATTTTCTATTATTTGGAAATTGCTTCTTTCCCCCTTTGTTTCTGATTTCTAATTTCAAGGAATCTATCCCAAACCTTTTGAAAAACAGAATTAGATACGATTTGCCAGTATGAGTACATCACTGTGAGTTCTGTTTTTGTGTAAGTTCAATGCATTTTTCTCTTTCATTACTTCAACTTATATCCACCAGAAAGTTTTCATAGAAGAAGGTATTATCTGAAAGGCCTCCCTGCTGCTTAACCAGGTCACACAGCCAGGGATGGAGACTGTACCAAATGCTCAGCCTTCCAGGTTGTTGTACCAACTCCCTCCCTCATGTGGTCAGAAGTTAGTGCTCCATGAGTTTCAGTCATGAATGTGGTGAGGAGGTGGAGGAGAAACACTGCATTTTCTCTCTTTTCTCTTTGCCTCCCACTTGACGGGTTAGAAACACTGATTGGCCTACAATGAATATCTTTTGCTTAAATATTCTCCATTCCATCTTTTCATTTGAATGTTTTTCACTAGTTCTTCAAGTGTTTCATCTCCAAACTTCACAAAGGACTGCACCAAATCTCTCAGACAATTGCTCTAAAAGAAACTACAGAAAGAAATTCAGTTCCCACATCCTCTGTAGTGTTTTTTCCTCTTCAGGTGAGCCAGGAAAACAGAAGATGTTTGGAGCCACATTGGATCAGCATCTTGCTATAGATGTCTCAAGATTTGAAGTTCTAAACTTGCTTTACTGTTGGTCCCCAAGAGATTCAACAGGGGCCATGTAAGTGTATCACATCAAGTATAAAAGATGCGTACCTGCATGTGCCATTAGGTTCTTGTCAACACATAGGTTTCTGTGGGCCATTCAGCTTTTGGTGTGAGGCTTTCCCCTCTGTTTTACTACCCTGTGCAGGATAAGAACAGAACCGCTGGTGGTTGAGTTCAACACAGAAGGGATTCTGCCATCTTGAACTCTCTGTCTCTATCAAGCTGTTTTCTGGTTGTATTCTTTTGCAGATAAGCTATGTAGTCTTGAATATCTGTCCTTTGGCTTTTTGATGACTTAAATATTGTTTCCTTACAAAAGTTGTATTATTTGAAAATTGTGAATGTTTGTAACTGAATAAAATGCTCCCCAATTACCTAAAGACAGAGGTAGAGTATAACCTCTAATGATACCATTTACATTGGAAATTGGACTTGTCCTATTGAGAATAGGTATTAATAGATTTGATCCTTTCACACACTATAAACCTGTGTGCTTTTTAATTTAAAGGTCAGTTGACAAATCCTGGTCGTTTTAACAGTAATTTTAGTATTTACTGGACCTGCACCAAGTCATAGATTGTAAAAGCTGTGGTAACTGTATTGTGCTGGGTGTGTAGCTGTGTCTAGAGATCAGTAACCTAGAATTTTAAAGCTGAAATGAACAGAATGGTACCTCTCATTCTTTTCTTTGTTGAACAGTTTTCTTTCCTTTATTATGGTTTGTGTAATTATTCTCAAATGAAAAGTGTCTGTCCCTTCTACCCTGTCTTTGGTCAAAGAGTTTTAGCATCATTCCAACACAAGCTTTTGAAGGTTTGTCCTTCCTTTTAGCTAGTGGAGGCAGGTGGTATTGTAATTATTCCACAGGTTACTTCGGCAAACATGGCTGTTTTTCCTGTAACCTTCATTATCTCAACTTAAGAGCTGAATTGGCATTTGAGTGCTGTGTCATCAATACAAAGCTGATAAAGAGGTCTTTTTATAATTGTGTCATCTCAAAACCTCTAGTTTAGATACAGATTGGTTAAATAAAATGATCACACACACACACACACACACACACACACACACACACACACACACACTTATATCAGATGAATATTCAACCATTGTTGGGTAGGTGGTTGACAGAAATGTATGAAGACAAAAATAATTCTAATTTTGCTACTCATTCTTTAGATCCAGCAAAATAGGTCACCAGTATAAATTACCCATTACTTAATTGGCAAAGTTATTTTTATTAGACAGTGAATGAATTAGGCAAAGAGATTTATATTTTTAAGGTTTCCATAGGTGACAGATGTTTTTCTTCTTTAAATATATCATTCTCTTTTATTAAGGTGTTTAAATTAGTGGTATGAGCATTAAATTTTAGGCCTAGAATTAGAATAAAGTTTCTATATTTTAATTTAGACTTGACTTTCAGTAGGTTTGAAGTGATAGTTGAGAAGAAGAAAAACTATCGGTCCTTCTCTATTGAACAAGCATTTTATGCTGAGGTCATTATATGACTGTCCAATATGAATTCTGTAAAGTATAAACTATGAATTTATGTGGATGACTCTTTAAAATGCTTTATCTTCAAATGTGGAAACTAGCATTTTTAAAGAATGCTTTAAAACAGAGTTTAATACAAAACACAGTGGTTACCTGTGCATAAGTTAAGATGGTAAAGTAGGAATGGAATGTATCGACCCTGGTTCTAACAGGGTTAGTAACGGGTCATTTTTAGATGTAGTAACATGTGTTTGTCATTTCATTACATGGAGAAGGTAGAGAGAAGGCTTCTGTCAGATTTGTGACTCCTGCGGGGGTCATTGCAGGGCCTTCTGTAGCTAGATCTATAAGACTCAGTCAAGTTTTTAAAAAAATCTAACTGAATTGCAACTTCATTAAGGATATCTTTCCTAGTTACTTCTTTGAATATGTGGGTAACTCACTGCTTTGAGACTTTTTTCTTTAATACTCCTATCTTTGACGCTCTCTTGTCTTTGTGTGTTTCTTTTATCTTTAAATTGAAGAAGTTTCATTTTTGAGTTTTTATTTCCTTTTGAAATTGTGAAATTAATAGGGCTAACACGCCTTCAGTGTCTCTGAACATTGATTGTTTTTCTCAAAGAACAATCATGCTTTTCTGTAGGAGTTAATATTTGAAGCAAGTGAAGATGTATACTTGAATATCCTGCTTGATCTATTTTGTCTTTTGCTTTTCTAGTCCTTTTTTGAAACTTTCCTTTAATTCCTCCTGGAAGCCAGCCAGCCTTTTCTTTTAGAATGAGTTGCTTAAATTATGTTAGAAGAAACTTCCCAGCTGAAAGTGAAAATTTTCAAACCAAGTGCATTTCAAGTTGTATGTGAAGGCTTATGAGGTGATTCAGTGTTGAGTTGTTGTAATCCAGAAAATGCCTGTGCATTGCAGGCATTCTAGCACCTCTTATCCTCTGTAGCCTCGACAGTCACCTCTGGTACAGTCTCATCCTGATGGCGTTATGCCCAAGAAACATCAGCAAGTGTGGAGCCCCTGAAGTGCATTATGTTCCTTTTCTCTTCTCCAGGCAGGAAAATTGGCTGCTTGGGCAGAGAACATGGGTTTCAAGTGTTACTCTAAGGAATTCTGGGAAGATGCCTGGTGCAAAGTGCTAGATAAATAGTGTAGACTGGTGCTATGGGTGGTCAAGAAGAGGGAGGCTACTGTGGTAGGAAATTTGGGGTGAGCTTTGGAGAAGCTGGAGGACTGGAGAGTTAGTAGTCGTTAGAAAGGAGGTGTGCAGTTTGTGTGTATCTTTACTTTTGTTTATTTACTTTTGCAGCACCATGGTACATATTCAGGGCTTTGCATGTGCTAGGCAAGGACTCAACCACTGACTGTATCAGCAACCCAGAAATAAGGGTTTTAATTAGAAATAATAGAAGCTGAAAGTAGTTCATGTTGTTGATGGTTCCTTAAATGATGACCTTTAGAAGTTTAAAATACCTTATTCATTGTTTATTTTCTTTATAAGAGAAAGAAATTTGAAATAGACAAAAAAAATTAATCATAGTTTATTTTTACTAATGTAACCAAAATATTTTTTAACCATTTAAAATACTTTCTTTTAGTCTTTTAGTGTATTTTGAAAAGCATAATGCTGATAACACATTTGTGTGCTTTAAAAAGTTTCATGTAACACCTTTTTGTGTTTCATTTGATATGTTCCTGTAATTTGTAAGTTAACTGTCCTGTGTATTGTGCTAACAATGCCTTCCCTAGCTACTCCCCACTTTAAGGTAGTATCCAGAGAGTTTTTGTACATATTAAGTCTCTTCCTATATGTTACAGTGGTTTCCTGGGCTAAATTCTCAGAAATGTAATTAACCTGAATTTATGATTTAATACATGTCATCAAATTGATCTCCACTGAGTTGTGACAAATTAAAAGATGGTCCACTGGCAAGTTAAGCACCTTGGTTTCATTTTGTCTTCTGTGACATGTTCCTTAGAAAGGTGTTCCATTTCAAATTTATATTTATTTAAATATTGTGAAGTTGAATAGACAGGCATCTGTGTTTCCTTCTGTAAGGAGAACTCTGAGAGGATTTTGACTGTATTGTTGGTCGTTATTACCCCGAGATGAACTTGACCTTACTTCCTGTGGCAAAAGCTCATTCCTGTGACATTCTAAGAGGCCTCACTCATTCATCTGCCTCTTGAGTCAAACTGTACAAAATGGCTTCTACCACAAAGCATTTAAATCTATTCAAATTCTGTACTAAAAACATTCACTTTACCTTGTATGCCCTTTGAATGTTTATTCTCTTTCTTCTCTTTAGCCAAACTTTTGTATTATGTCTGTATATTTGCAATTTACTTGTTACTTAATATTTGTATCACTAAATCAAAGCTTTTATTTTTTCTCTGCCACCC